ACCCGTGTGCCCATCCTCCCTGCCCCAACCCCTCCTGTACCCGTGTGACCATCCTCTCGGGCCCTCTTTTCAGCTCCAGGGTCCCCGCGGTTGCTGTAGCTGCGATGCTCCGGGTCCCGAGGGTACTCGAAGGCCGAAGCTGAGTTCTGCTTTTCGGGAGGGGTCCGTTCTGGTCAGTGGCAGACGAGGATCGAAGAGAAAGGGTCAAAAAAGCTCCAGCCCAGCCACGAACAGCTGAGAGGTGCTGAAGAGGGAGGTCCCCTAGGACCACCTCCTTCCCCAACTTCCCAAGGGCTGCCACCCCGACAGGGCTATAGGTGGAGTGGAGGAAGAACTCCGTGGCCCTGCATCCCCCTTCTCCACCCCACCCCACCCCACCCCTGCCCGGTGAAGCGCGCAAGCAGAAGGGGAGAGGGGATTGAAACGAGATCAGCCCGTCTGGGCACTGGGGGATGGGGGGCGGAGCCTGGGCCTCGGGGGCGGGCCTTACCAGGGGGGCAAGTCTGACAGCAGTGACCCGGCAGCTGGCGGGGCTGCCCGCAGTTCGGCACCGGACATTCGGGTTTAATGTTCTTACAGCTCACCCGTCCCGGACCCCTGCCCCGGCGACCCCAAGAGGGCTGCGGCCAAAGTGGAGATAGGAAGGGAAGGTGGTCAGGACCGGGGTGGGGGGGGGGGGCAGTCCAGAGACTAGAGAGTCGGCTGGGGATATTGGGGACGAGATGGGGGCGGCATTCCTTCAAGCATCCGGGACAGGGGAGGAGGGAGAACAGACAGGGCGGTCGGGAATTACGAAGACTCAGCAGAGGCCAGCCAAAGACCCCAGTGCCCTGAGATGAGAGAGGAAGGGAAGGAACCTGGACGCCCGCCCTCTCCCGTGGTCCCCACATACCCGCGAGGTGGTCTACAAAATACGTTCTGGAGGCCTGGGACCTCCCCCACCCCACTCCATCAACACCACCGCATCTCGGCTCCCGGCAGTCCGGGGTCCTCCAAATCATGGTACCCAAACTGTAGCTTCCCAGACCCTTGCCCAGCAGTGAGGGGCCCCCGTGTCCCAGGAACCACTCACCAGCTCGCAGGCGCACAGAACACAGCGCATCACCCCAAAAGGCTCCCCCAGGTCCGGGTGCCACGTCTCCTCCAGAGCATAGAGCTTTCCCCCAAAGGAACAGCCTGCAAGATGGGCATTCAGCTGGCAGCCGCTGCCTACCTGCCCACCTGCCTCCTGCCCCTGAGGCTATTCCCTTCCTAGAGCCGGCCAGCTGACGCCCTCTCGCCCCTTCGAGCTCCCGCTATCCTCTCTTCGCCTCGCCTCGCCTCGCCTCGATTCGCCTCGCCTCGCCTCGTGCCAGACGTGCCCCCCAGTCCCGTGCCCGCAGCAGCAGCGGGCACCTGCGCCACCCGTGGCCACCTACCTGCCGAACCCCGGGCTGGCAGCGGCTCCTTCTCGGGCCGGATGGGCAGCTGCGGGAGCTCGGGGCCGGAGCAGCGGGCCGCCCGGAACCCCAGCACCAAGAGCCCGAAAAGCAGCAACGGAGCCGGCGGGCCAGGGAGGCTACGCATGACGCGGGCCGACGAGGGCAGGCAGCCCCGGGGCCGGGCCGGGCCGGGCGGGGCGGGCGACGCGAGGCGAGGAGGTCGGGCGGGCCGGCCGGCCGGGAGCTCTCCGCGGCCGGGCCGGGGACAGGGCCGGGCCGAGCTGAGCGAGGGATCGCGATGCCGGCGGGGCATTACAGCGGCGGCCGGCCGGGCGGGACAGGGCGGGCAGACGGTGGGTGCCTAGACGCGGGCTCCAGGCGGCTCGGCTGCCCGGGGACGGCGGCTTCGGCCCCAGCCTGGGCCCGGGCCCGTTTTATGCCCGGCGCCCAGGGCCCCGGCCGGGGGCCTCCTCGTCAGCAAACGGGGCGGCGGCGGCGGCGGCGGCGACACTGCGAGGGGCCGGGCCGAGCCCAGCCCGGGGGGTCCGGCCCTGCAGACGCGGCCCGCTGGAGCTGGGGGAGGGGAGGGGCAGAGCGGGAGGGAGGGGCTGGAGGGGGGCCAGGGGAGGGAATGTCCCTACGCGGGGGCGGGGCGGGAGCCCCCCATAGCCCCCCCTCCTGCAGGGGACGCCACCTGGGGGGAGGCGGGCGAAGCCAGGGACGCACTGACCGTTGTCAGCTGGGTACCGGGGACACCCCCTTTGAGGGGATACAAATGGGAGGGCCCTCTGTGGCTTAGGCATCCCGGGGAGAGGCCTGGGGCTGCCGGATCAAGTGGGGTTCTCCCTGGAGAAGGAGCACAGTTCAGGGGCCAGGCGCTCAGGCACAGCCCTACGGAGGAAGCGAAGGAAAGACCCCCAACACCTGTCTCTTGCCCGGAGGTTTCAACCCCTTTCCTCAGAGTCCAGTTAGAACCGCTACCCTCCCCCATCCCATTCCTGCTTCTTCCCAGCTCTGCTCCGGCTCCAGACACATGCCACACCCGGATCCATCTGCCTTGCCCTCGATTCAGCCTCTTCTCTGGATACTTTCTGCTCCCCCAACTCTGGCGACCACTGGCAGCTTTTCCCAGGATGGCCCGTCCCCCACCAGCAACCTAGGCTGCTTGCCTCGCTCCCGTTCAGTATCTCCTACAGACCATCTCAGGCACAGGCCAAGCGTGGCCGGCTCTCCCCCTCTCCTCCTCCCAGCTCCTTGGACTCGGTCTTTGTCAGAAGCTCCCATCTTGACTTTCTGCCTCCCTGCTCACCACCTGCACACACACACACACACACACACACACACACACACACACACACTCACCCCACTACCTCAGCTCACAGCCACCCCTCCCTTCCTAATCTGAAAAGACATCTTGTCTGGCTAGACTGGAAAATTCCAGGGTTTAGGCCTTCTTCCTGAGGAGACAACACTAAAGGGAGAGAGGAGCTGAGGAACGAGCACAGTGAAGGAGGCCAAGGGAGAATCAGGAACCAGAAGCTTGACAAGTTACAGGGAAGCTCAAGGGGGTGTGCAAGGGGAAGTGGTGTGTTGGTAAATGTTTAACAACCAGCTCTCCAGAAGTTTCATCTGCATCGGTGACATTTTATCCATCACTTTCTTAAGTCTAGATCACCAACAAAGTAATAAATCCAGACCCCGTTTGTAGTATTATCCTATTTCTGGGATGCAAATGCTCACCCTAAAGATTGAACATCCCATTCTGTGCAGCTCAGAGCTCCTGGGGTTTGGCTGCAGCACACCACTGACATTTACTAACAGGGGAGCTTCACCAGCAGTCTTTCCCCACATAAGTACACACAGACCTAGTTATTTCCTCTATCACATCAGCAAGCTCCTATTATGTGTCAGACACTGTGCTGAGCATTGGCCGTTGGCACAGGAAAGCAAACACTGCCCCTCCCCGAAAGAAGGTTCCATTCTAACGGGGAGACAACGTGAAAACTCGGTAGGTACAGGATGTATACCGAATTGAGGCCAGTCATCTCAGAGGGGAGGCATATGGAGCAGAAGAAGGTAGAAGGAGCAAGAGATGAGGGAGAAGGGAACAGAGAATAGAGAGGAAGGGCAAAGGGGAGGGAATTTCAGCTGCCCAAAGCAACCAGCGCATCTCTTCCCTCCTAACCTCCCATGCGCCCAAACACATCTGCACTGCTTTCCCTCAGCATTGTCTCCCAACAGGATTGTTTTTCTAATACCAGGAGTCTCCAATTGGTGGAGAGAGTGTAAAAAAAGAGATGTGAGGAATAGTGGAGGGGTACTGGAAAGCCAGTACAGAGAGAGTATCAGGGAACAAGGCATCCCGTCAAAGGATGTCATTAACAAATGTCATTCATGGGGAAGATATAGCACAGGGTGGGTCAGAAGAGAGACAGACAGACAGAGAGGAGACACAGAGACAGAGAAAAAAAGGAGAGACAGAGAGGAGAAAGACGGGAGAGAGACAGAGACAGAGATAGAGAGACACACAGAGAGAAATATGGAATTTCTGAAACCAAAACAAGTCCTCTATGTGTTTTTTGAGATGCAGCATGACTTAGTAGATGGAGTCTTGGCCTCAGGTACAGGAAGATCCGGGCTCAGGTCTTGCCTCTGTCACTTACTAGCTATGGAAACTGATGAAGTTATCAAATTTCTGAGTACTTTCTAAGAATTCCCAGCAGAAAAGGTGCTGACCTGAACCGGTACAAGGAGCTCACCTCATTAGTGAGATCTCAGGTCTAGTTCCTATGGGGAGAGGGGAGGTCCTTCTTGTCAGAACCGTCCCAGGAGAAGTCTTGGGTTCCAACTGCCACCCATCCCCCATCTCCTTCCTAGACCAGGTGCCATGTTTCCCATTTCCTGGAGAGGAGGCCCCAAGTTCAACTGAACAGAATGCTCTCCAGTCTGTGAGTTTGTGGAGGGGCTGCTCTGGGAGAGTGGACCAAGGTGCAGACTAGGGGCTGTGGGTCCAGAGTGGGCGGGAAGAGGAGGGCGTCATATCCGGGGGCCCCAGTCAGTGCTTGGGTGGCTCCCTGCTCTGATTGGGCAGGAGTGACCAGGACAGGCAAGTGACCCTATTGCTTTGGAAGGGCTGGGCCCCAGAACCCTGGGCCCCTGCTGTGCCAACTTCAAAGCACCTGGACCCTTGGGCTCTTCTCCACCTGGTGAGTATGGGCATGGGGGCTGGGGGGAGGTGGGGTGGCTAGCTGGGGGTTGAAGAGGTAGGAAGGAGGCATAGGACTCCCAGCTGGGGGAAGGGCAGCTACACTAGATCCTCCAGCCACTGACCTTTGTCAGGAAGCCTGGAGCCTCTTCCCAGAATGGGAGGAGCAGGCCAGAGCCAGAGCTGGAGTAGGGGGTGGGGTGCGGGGGAGAGTAGGGAGGCCTTGTTCCTAAGGTAGTTCATCACGGGGAGCTATAAAGGGGTATAACCCCACAGCAGTGAAAAGAGGAAAAGAAGCTGGCATGGTTTGAGGGGAGCTAACCCTGGGAAACCTACCTCTCGGGGGGCAGGGGCTTCTTAGGGTGAATGTGAACCTCCCCATCACTTTCCCAGTCTGTCCCTGTCCAATCTGAGCCTGATTTCAGGGCCTGGGGATGTGGGGGGGGAGAAAGACAAGGCAGAGGAGTTGAAGGTAAAAGGGGGGAGGGTCCAGCCCTGTTGACAGACTTACAGGAAATCCCAATATTGAATCAGGTGCAGACCTCTTTGCACAACTTGTGAAAAGAGGAAGCCATGTGGGGGGTCCTGTGAGGGGATGGAAAGGGGCCTGCTGGGGGCAGGGAGGAAGGTACAGACTTGGAAGTGTCTGGGCCACAATTAGCCCCAGAAGGGACACATGATCCTATGCATTGGGAACCCAGCTCCTGGAAGCCAAGAAACCAAGATCCTCAGGGCCACAGCAGGACCCCCATCCCCCTATTCTAAGGTCCAGGCTGGTCTGCTTAGGAACCACAGATCCAAGAGATGAGTGAGGAGAAAAAAAAAAAAAAAGATCCAAATGGCTTTAGGTGATTCTATGGAGAGGAAGAAAGCTAACTCAGCCAGCAGCCCTCTCGAATCTCCCCATAACCTTTTGGTGCCCTCCAGGCTCCAGGGCCCCGGTTCTATTCGATGCTTCTCAGTAACTCCCAGGTGCCTCCTCAGATGCCCCGAATTGGAGCCCGGAATCCTCGTCCATCCACACCACCCCCATCCTCTAAGTAATGTCAGTGCTCAGGGGCTGAGCGTTCCTGGAGGACACACCAGCAGCTGTTTTCCTCTGGGTAGAGCCTGCCTCTATCCCCATCTCCATCCTCACCTCCAGCCAAAGCAGGAGGACCTCCCTGAGGGATGCTACACGCAATAATTCCAAGGCCTGATCACAATCAATACTTGTGCCAATATTGCTGTTTTTCTCATGTAGTTAGCACACAGATCCCAAGGAGCGTTTCTATTGCCCCCATAGCGTGGAGCTGGTCAGGAAGCCAGACCCCAGCCCCTCTCCCCCAGGCGCCAGCAGCCCCCTACACCCAGCCGCCTCCATGGCCTCAGGCAGAGCCCAGCGGAGAAGGCCCCACACAGGGAGCCACCCCAGCAGCCCGCCTGCTCAGCATGGAGCTGACTGGTGAGTGGACCTCAGTGGAGGGGGGGGAGGCGGGAGGACACTTCAAGACGTCTGGAGTCTCTAAATCCTCTTGGGAATTAGGGTTTGGAGCTTCAGAGTGTTTGGACGGCCGGCCTGCATTTAGAATAGGAATTTCTGGACCATCTCCAGACTAATAATAGCTCCTATTTTTATAGCGCTCTAAAATTTACAAGGCACTTGCCTTTCAATATAGGGAGTATACAGAATATTGTCATCTTCATTTTACAGTCGAGGGAATTGAGTTTTCCACGGGGGAAGTAACTTGCTCAACATCATATAGTTAATGAGTGGCAGGGTAAGGATTTGAACATAGAGCCTGCGGTTTCAAATCCCTTCCACCATCCTCATGCTGGCAGCCACGTCTGTGTTCATCCCAACTAATACCCTGACTCTCCTCCTCATGCCAGAGCTGCTTGTCGTGGTCATGTTTCTCCTCGGTTCAAGACTCACTCTCACCCTGACCAGCCCTGCTCCCGTCTGTGACCCCAGACTCTTCAACAAGCTGCTCCGAGACTCTGCTGCCTTACACAGCAGACTGGTAAGACTCCCGGGGGGCCCCTCCCATGGCACCACCTCTACTCCCCCTCATGGACCCGTGACCCTTCCCTCCTCTGAGGCCCCAGTGGAGAGCTCCGAGGGCACACCGCTCCGACTCCACACCCACACTCCTGATTCACAGAGTCAATGCTCGGACCTCGGGCCTCTGCCCATACCTGTCCTGCTGCCCACCGTGGACTTCAGCCTTCGGGAATGGAGAGCAAAGACGGTGAGAGACCACCCCTAAGGTCCTTGGGCTTGCTTCCCCAAACCCTGTGGCCATGAACCTTTCACCTTTGTCCCTGTCTCCTTGTCAATCTCAATCCACTGTGGCAGCCTGCTAGTATAAGTCTGAATTTTGTAGTCTGACATCTATTGTATTGGTGATCCCTTCTGACTCTGGGTGATTCACAAACTGGAAAAGCATCCAGTTCCATCCGAGTTGTTAATAAAATAAAAAAATATACAAAGCAACAGGGCCATCCCTGAAGGATGACACAGTCATGAACCTACATTCTGAGCTTATCTCAGCTAGCTTCCCATTTCCTGAACAGCTGAAACATCCAGCCACAGATTCCCTCAGAACCTGGATCAGCCTAAGAAATGGGAAAGGAGATTCTTCTGAGAAAGGGCAGGAGGCTTACCCAAAAGTTAATGGAGTCTGGGGATCCTCACACCTCCTCTGAGCCCCATCTTACTCAAAGTGATTTAAATGCGGGAGACTGAGTCCCAAACTTAGGTGAAGGATTCAGTGAGCTAGCTAGCACAGCATCGTACGGGTACTGGACCCCCTCCCTGCCCACAACACCCCTCCTCTTCTTTATGTGGAATTTCTGCTGCTGACTTGGCAAAAGTTCTCATGAAAAAGATCAGATTGTGTTTGACCACAAGCTTTCTGTGAGCCAACGACGGGATGGAGCTGCTACCTATCTTCTTTCCCCATTAGAACGTGAGCACCTTGAAGGGAGAGACAACTTTGTTCTTCCTTGTATCCCCGGCACTGGGTGAAGTGCCTGGCATGTAGAAACACTTAATAAGTGCTTGCTGACTGACTGACTGGTGCAGGTCCACCCTCCACATCTTAGGAAACACGTTCATAAAGGGAGGGGGCTCCAAACTGCCTAATTTGGTGACCAGTCGTCAAGTTAGAAGCCTCTGTCAGTTCATCTGGGTCGGTTAGAGAGGCTCACAGATTGAGGGCCAGAAGGGCCTTCAAAGTCCCAACTAGGCCAACCTACACATGGGGAAACTGAGGCCCAGAAGAAAATGTGACTCACCTATGGTCACACATGCGGTAAGAGATCAGGGTGGGATGTGAACCCAGAACTTCTGGCTCTAAAGTCTGTTCTTAGTCTTTTTGGAGAGCTTTCTTCGCACCCATGTCATAATAGAGGGAGAAGGTCCAGAAAGTACAGGAACAGCCCCGAGTCCTCTGCCCTGGTCAGACTGTGCAGTTTCAGGCAGTTTCACAGTCAGAGACAGACCATCCAGGAAGACTGACCATGAGCTACGAGGAGTGAGTCTCAGCTGTGCTGCCGTGGAGGGTGGGAGCGGGCCGAGGGAGCCAGGCTCAGACGCAGTGTGAAAAAGAAGGGTGCTGTCCAAGAATAGATGGGCAGCCTCATTAGTCAGGAACACCACAGAAGGGAGATTACGTGACCCGAAGTGTCCCACCCGCAAGCTCCTTCAATGTGGTCGTCCTGCCCCACCTTCCTTACCCAGGAGCAGACCAAGGGGCAGGAGGTCCTCGCAGCCTTGACCTCACTGCTGGAAGGCGTGATTGCGGCCCGAAGACAGCTGAGCCCCAGCTGCCTCTCCTCCCTGCTTGGGCAGCTCTCAGCCCAGACACGCATGCTCCTCGGAGCTCTGCAAGGCCTCCTGGGAACCCCGGTAAGGCCCAGCTGAAGGCATCCACGGGAATGATCTTCCCTTGACCAACTGGAACATCTAGTATTGGGTGATAGGTGTTGGGTGGGCCATGCTGTTCTTCTTCCTAACCCCTGGGCCTAGGGATCCCCTGCCCTCGCCAGAGACATGATCTCTGGCCTTGGGCCCCTCCTCTGCCCCCAGTCTCTCCCAAAGGGCCAGACTGCAGCTTACAGAGAACCCACGGCCATCTTCCTGAGCTTTCAGCAGCTCCTCCGAGGAAAGGTGCGTTTCCTGCTGCATGCGCTAAGACCCATCCTCTGCGCCAGGCAGGACCAGCCAGCCACAGCAGCCCCAGACAGTGGCTCTATGCCCTCTGTCAGGACAGCCTCTGGGCTCAAAGACAAGGCCCTTGCATCATTGGAAAGGGCCCCTGGGAGCTCAGCCAGACCTACAGAAGCTCCCAAGGGAGCGTTCAGACCCCTGAACAGAATTCCTGGATTGCTGAACCACACAGCCAACCCCCTGGACAAAGACCCTGCACACTTGAACATGACTCTTGGGCCCTCAAACAGAACCCATGGCATCTCTCCTGTACCCTCAGCCAGTACTGTGGGCAAGTCAAACAAGCCCCCTGGAACTCTAGATGTAACCTTCCAATCACCCATTCTCTTGCCCGGACTGATTACTTCCCCAAGTACTCCTCCTACTGGACACCATGTGCTCTCTTCTCCCTCCCCCACCCCACCAACCTCCACACCCAGGTCTCTTGTCCCTTCCTCTTCCCCCTCAGCCACAAGCCCAGGAAACTTAGCTTTTTCTACAACCTGCTGCTTTCACTCCCAGAACATGACCAAGGTCATGCGGGACATTCAGGGCCCCGCCACCTCATCCCCTAGTTAAGTCCCATAGTCTGAAAAGAAAGGCCTCCCCGGAGCAGGCCGGGATACCCAGGACACCCACCCAACCTCAGCCTGGTCTAAGCTCCTTAGCCCAGCCCTGCTGACCTCTCAGGAGCCCACAGGCAGGCAACAAGCACCAGGAGGCCTCTCCAGGATCCTTCCTGGAAGCCTTCTCCTGCCACACAGACGGAAAGGGAACATTTTTCACTGTTTAATTTCAGAAAATATTTTTTTAAGCAGATAAATAATATTTGTCAGGAAAGCCGATTCTCCTGGAACCTTCGGTTCATTTCTCTACAACTCTTCCCTTCCTGGTCCCCCTGCTTGCCTATAAGCATCACCTCAAGGCTGACTTTGCCAGCAGCTCACTGGGGAATAGAAAAAGCAGGGTCCCTTGTTCCATGCTTAGAACTAATCCAGCCACCAGCCCTCCAGCCTCCACTGCCTTCTGCGGGGGGAACTTTCTGTCAGGAAAGACTCTTGAGTGATATCCCTCAGCCTGGCAGGCTTCTGGAAGGCATTCCAAATACCCTCCCCCACACACACACCTGACTGGAAGGTGCTCCAAACTATCCCCGATGCCAGCCCGCCTGGAGCTCACAGAAAAATAAGGGAGAAAACAAGTGAAGGTGACAAAGGTGAAGTCAAGCATTGCAGCATACTGTCCTTCTAGGAGGGGGGAGTGGGCTCCCTGAAAGCTGACAGGAAGCCTGGGGGACCTCGCACCTCAGCTAAGGTTTAGAGACAGCCCCAGGGAAGCCGAGACCTGGCTAGCACAGCTGAGCAAACAGCCTGCCTTGGAGAGGAAATTTCACCAGGTCCAAGCTCCTGCTTCCCTCCCGTGGAGGCGGGGAGAAGTGCAGGAAGCAGCCCTGCCCACGCCCTCGAGCGCACCACAGGGGGAGGTAGTCTATGCCCTACTTCCCAGAAGCCCCAAGTGACTAAAGAGGATCTCAGTGGGCTTAATGGGCTGAGCTCTGCTGAATATCAGATAATGAATCACAGAATAATAGGTTACCAGAGCCGGACCAGACCTAGGTGATCTAGGGCAACTCATTTTACAGATGAGCAGACTGAGACCCAGAACGCACCCCCTTCCCCCCTCACCCCCAAGGTCACAGGTTTTCCAACTCTAGTCCAGTACTCTCTGCCGTCTACCACACAGTCTTCCAGGGAGGCTTGTCCAGGCAGCCCTGAAATGAGGCAAGGTCCCAGGGTAAACAGGGAGCTCACCAAGGACAAGGGCCCGATAAGCTCTGCGATGGAATCCCTCTGGAACTCGGTTCTCATCCTCCCAAGACTGAGTATCCAAAGTCTCCAAAGCCAGGGAGGACGCTGCTGCCTCGGTGCTGCACCCAGGCTGAAAAGGCCTTATCTTGAATGACAACCTACAGCCTGCAGCCTGCCCCTGCGGGGCAGGTAGGGGCCAAAGGGCACAAACGCCAGGCATGCAGGATGGCAGTCACGGTGCTACCACAAACACCTTAACGCCTACCTGGGCCCTCTGTGGCTCAACTAAATGAGGATGGGGAAAACATTCTACCCCCTCAAAGAATCTCAGGCTAAGGAAAATCAGACTCAATGAGTGAAAAATGCAGCATTAGATGAGAATATCTCGGAGCTGCCGTCTCTCCCTTCCCAGAAAAATACGGAAAGTCGGAGAGGGACAAAATCCATGAAGCCACCAAGTTTGGAAAGCCCAGTGCCAATCTTAGGTTGCTAGTGCAGGCCTGATTTCCAGAGAAGTGAGCTTTGTGCTTGCAGAGAGAAGTTAGCACACCCGAGTTGGGCAGGGAAGTGTAAGAAATTTCCTGCAATTTACTTCTGTGGAAACTGGATGAAAGGCAATGACCAAATAAAACTCTTTACGGCATAGAAATGAGCCAACACCCAGATACAAACCATGCCAGCAGCACCATAAGATTCAGGGTGATGCGAACATTAACGCCAGGAAGTTCTAAGCAGAGACTGAAGGTTGACCTACATAGCTCAGGACCAACAGCCCCTTCACTCATGTAAAGAAAAAGATCTTTCTAGTGCAGGCCAGCCCAGTCCCCAAACCCAGACGACTCCTGGACACCGGCCAAGCCAAGGAGAGGGAAAGGAGCGCCCTTCTTTCCTGACATGCCAGGCCCACAGTTTCACTGTCAGGACGTCGTCCCAACTGCCTTCAGGGGCAATCCAACCATCTTCTAGCCCTCCAGATTTTTGGAAAAAAACTGAGTTCTTCTCCTGCCGTCCACACTGAATTCCCTCCCATTCTTCCCCCAAACTTAAGGCTTCAGAAAGCTGCTGAGATTCCCACAGACATTCATCCCATTCCCTACCGCCCTCCCCTCCCCTTGTACCCCCCCCAGTGAGAAACCAACAGAAACATCTTTCCTTTCTTCCTGCAGAGCTCATTCACTTTCAACCCATTTCCCTACATCCCATTCTTAACGCCTTCTTCACAGACCTGAAAATGACAGGGAAGGAAACACCCCAGGCAGCATCTAAGGGAGGCCAACTCCTGGGGCGAAGCAGCTTCAGAAGGACAGACCCTGGATGTGCCCTCAAGCCCTCCGCCTTCCGGGGCAGAATTCCTCAGAACCACGGGCTCCTGAGCTCGCTTCCCTTCATGCAGAAAGAAAACCAGGGATTCTCAGGCAGTTTCAGGCTTCGGCTATCATGCTGCCGTTTCCCAAGGTTCTCCCAGCACAGTACAGTCAGGAAAGTTACAGGGACACAATGTTCTGGAGCAAAGGGACCAGAATGAGCCCCACTGGTGTTGCCGGTGCCCTGATGGTGCTCACAGCAGCTCCCTCTCCCTGTTCAGTTATCACTGGATGGCAAACACCTCCGACAGTTACCTTCCCTCCTGGGGCCCTGACAGAAACGCCACCCCTGCATTCACAACCACTAAATCCTCCCCCATTCCCACTGTCCCTAGACACAACCATGCTACATGCCCATGTCTAAAGCCTCCCCTCATGATTACACACACACACATCATCTCCAGGCTATGCAGATGACTCTTCTCCAAGAACTGAACACACTTCCTAGACTAGGGAAGCAAGTGCTAGAAAGATTCAGTAGATCCCCTTGCCAATGTGTCCTGTGCCATCCTCAGAGCTGGCCCCAGAAGCCCAGAGCACAGCAGCACAGGATAAATACTGAGGCCGGCTAGCAGTGCTGAGTAAGGCCTGGCCAGACACACCATCCCCCTGCCTTAGGTCAGATGCATAAAAAGCTGCAGGAGGAGAAATGAAAAGACAAATTTCCAGGCAGATAGTAGAATGAGAAGAGAGACGGATATAAAAAAGCATAGTTTAATTGAACCATCACACAAAGTATCTGAAAGCTCAACCTGAGCTCATCCAATGGGATCCCAAGCAGGGGCCAACAGCCAGTTTTCCAACTGGCTCAGACCAACCAAGAGAGATCCCAAGTCCATCAGGTGAAGAATGGATTTCTCCAGAGAAAGGGGCCCTTCCTCAGCCAGCATTCCTCCCACTGGAGCAGCTCTTGGCAGGGGCAGCAATGCCCAGACCAGGCCCCACCAGACAGGGAAAGGGGTGAACAGCAAAGGCTCCCTGGTCAGCTCAGAAAGCCAGCTTCTTCATCAGGAGGTAAACTCGGGAGTCCACTTCAAAGCCGTGCAAGTTGTTGGCATCTCCCTGGAGTCTCATGAGCAGCCCCCCGTAAGACACATAGGCTGAGCTAAAGCAAGAGGACAGCACCGAAGTCAGCCTTTTCTCCTTAGCAGCTCTATCTCGGCACTTCTGGGCAGCCCGGGCTGAACAACGAAGCATGTGGCGGCCAAGAAGGTGAGAAGGGAGCCCCTGGACCACCCCCCCACCCCCAGGACGGGTTCTAAGTACGGGCTCTAGAGGTCACCAAAAACGTCATACCCACCCTCTGGTCCAGAATACCCCAATACGAGATAAACAGAACTCCCCAAAGAGCCCACTCTTACCCCCCACCCCATCCAGCAGCCATGTCTGCGACCAAAGCACAAGGTCTGGCAGCCTGTCTCTTCTCCAGGAAACAGAAAAGCCGGTCTCTTACATGTCGTTAAGTTACTTACAGGCGAGTGGCTGCTTCTGTGGAGGTCTCGTCTCCCTCAATTCTGTACACCTTCCCATACATCACGTACTCAAACTGGTCGGCCCTGTGGAGTAAAAGGCAGACGCTCCTTGGGTCTCTCTCCCCGACCTGCACAGGAATCGGCAGAAGCCACCACAGCCAGAGCTGGGCAGAGGAGAAACCCCATAAGGACCTGCTGACTGAGCTCTTACACGTAGCAGACTAGGGAGGTATGATTTCCCTCTGGTGCCCCAGGCCCTGCTAAGCACCAGGTATCTAGGCCTAGGTCACCTGTTGTCCTTAGAGAATATCACCAAAGAATTAACTAAAAGCAGAATAAAGTTGAAAAATCTGGCAGAGTACCTGCTCTTCCCTGATCCCTCACCTGGATGGCCGGTCATCTGTGGGATTATACTCCCCATCGTCCAGGGTCCCATCTTCATACAAGGTGCTAGCTATCACCAATCGGAACTTGTCACCTGAAAATCAACAACAGATTTTGTGGAGCGTTAGACTCTGTACATGTGGTCACTCTCACGGGCCTCTGCTTCACTCCGTTCAAGCCGCCTCCCCGCCACGATGCCACCAGCCTAGCTCATGCCAAGCTGGATGGTTCTGCTGCTTCGAGCCTTTGTCTTCTCCGAGCCCTGGCTTCTACAGCTCTGAACGTGCCACTGCCCTGCTCCAACACCTGCACTAGCTCACTAGGGCCTCCAGCAGGATTTCTTAACGTGGGCTCGGTACATCAAGATATACGTATACACACAACTCTTTTTCAACATTATTGCAGTCCTTTTTATTTTATACACTTAAAAAGGGATACAAAGGCTTTTCCAGAGAGCCAAGGAAACATCACCAAAAAGCTTAAGAACTCTATAGGATAAAATACAAATTCTGTAGCCTGGGATTCAAGGCCTGCCATAATTTGGCCCCAGCCTACCTTTGGCAGCCTAATTTCACATCGCCTTCTCTTCCCCCTTCCCACCCTCACAATCCACCAAACTATTTGTTCCATGAATCTGACATAGCCCATCCTGAACACTCCCTTAGTCTTGGACTGCACCGCTGTCTCCTCTTCCTCCTCATCGAGGTCTTTCACACTCTTTTTCTTACTTCAAGGTTCCGCTCAGAGGCGGCCACCACCACCGACTCCATGAAATCTTCCCTGATGCCCTCAGCTGAAATACTCTCTTCCCACTGAAATGTTCCTAGAGTACTTCTTATCCGGATTTTTCCTTTGCCTCCATCACATCATTCTCGGTGTCATACGCATCTATCATTTCTACATCCTTATCCCTCTCCCCTGCCCAGCAGAAGGTAAGCACTTTGAGGGCAGGAACTATTACTTATTACCTCTGCATCCCCCACTACCTGACGCAGTGCCTTGCATAAAGTAGGAACTTCACCGTTGGCTGAATTATTATCGCATCACTTCCTAATTTCTCTGTATGCTTCCCATCTGTCATTGTCGATGGCACAAGAGTCTCGACTGCAATCACCATCCACGGTTCAGCCATCCCTCAACTGCTGACTATGTGGTCTCTTTCCAGTCCTTCACGATGACAACACCGTGAATGTGTGAGTGCCACACATCTTCCGCTTCCCACAACACAGTCCTCCAAAGCACCAATCACAGAACACAAACAATTCTGTGACCCCTGTCCTCTGCTGCTCGGCTCTCCAAAGGATTCTGCCGAGGCACCATTCTCTCCTCAGTGTGACCGTGGGCCCCTACAACAGGAGAGGCTGTCATTTTTAACTCCTTTGACCGATTTCATTCGGGTGAGGCGGCACCTCTGGGCTGCTGTGCTTTCCATTTCTCTGCTTAGAGAATCCAAGCAAGTTTTAGGTGGTCACTGACCACTTGCATTTCTCCTTTTGAGAACTTCACAAAATCCAAAAAGAAACCTATAGAAAGAATTCAGGGGATGACACGAGCAAGCTGGACATTTTGGTTATTTTTCTTAAATTGTAAATACAGATGTTTCAAGTTTCACGTACAATGTCTTCCTTCTGATTTCATTCTTTGCGGCTTGTTTTTGTGGATGGCGTCTATGTGAGGAACACAAATCCCTTTCATTCAACAACAGTTCCCAACAACATCAGAAAGAACAGCAGACTCTCTGGCTATCCCCATAAAACACTTACCCAAGTCCACAGGATAGATCTGGATGTTAACATCTAAGATGAGGTCCATCTTGAAGGATTCACTCTCACAGTGCAAGCGGGACACTAACAACAAGAGAGAAATGATTACAGGAGAGATGCTGGTGAAGGCCACAGGAGATAAAGAATGTCCAAGCCTCTGGCTTTTGATCCCTCTTCCACCACTGAGTCACTGTGAATTGGGGCAAATCATTCCTCTCCCTCTCCCCCAGAAAACGTGGCCTGTTTCCATATATGTAAAGTGTGCAGGCTGAACCAGAGGATCCCGGGCTCCTTTCCAGCTGCTGCCATGAGATGGCCAACAGGGAAGCGTCCCTCTAGGGGATCTGAGAGGAGCAGACAGGATCCCCGGACGTGGTGAGTTACCTTCAGGTAGTGTGTGCTGATGCTGGGGGCAGAAGGCATCTCCCCCAGAAAGGGCCAATGGATGTGGATGCTGTGGAAGTGGTTCTAACAAGGGATGTACGTAATGGGATTAGGGGTGAAGGAAGATAGCATATCCTGAGGTGGGGGGAGCAGTGTAAGATACCAGAGGAAGGTTTGTGTGTGCATGTGTGTGTGTGTGTGCGCGCGTGCACGCACATGCATGTGTTATCCAGAGAGACTATGTGGCAGGTAGGGGAAGAAATGTCTCTGCATTTGGTGGAAAGGGAGGTGGTGATCTCAGTGGGAGGAAAATCCCTTTGGAAAAGTAGTAAGAATGAGGGTCAATGAATATTGGGCATAGGTATATTATGGGGGGACCTCTGAAGGACAGAAGGAAGCAGAAAATGCCCTAGGTCAATGGGGAGGCAGCTGAAACACCCCAGGACATGGAGGTGGGGGAAATTCTCTTAGGAGGATGAGAATGTAGCGAGGTCTCCTCTGGAAGGAAAGTATCTTCTGGAAGGGTGAAACAATCCACTAACAAACTCTTATTAAGTAAATGTGAGAGGCCCTGTGCCAGGTGCTGAGGACACAAAGAAAAAAACAAAACCAGTAACTATCCTCAATGAACTTACATTCTAATAGGGAAGATTGACAAATAAACAGAAATAGACACAAGATAAACATGCGGGGTATCTAGGATAATCCAGCCTTCCCTTAAGTGATCTACCATCAGAGGACAGAGCCCTAGCAGCTGACAGGACCCAGAAAGCCTTCTGCACAACACTGGGGACATTTGAGCTGAATCTTGAAGAAAGTTGTGGATTCTTGGAGGCAGAAGGGAAAGCATCTCAAGAATGACAGCCCAGACGTGGGACATAGAGAATTGGGCGTCAGGAACAAGTAGACTGGCAAGGCTGAAGCTCTGAGTACATGGAGAAAATAGGAAGCAGTCAGTCTGTGAGGAGCTTTAAATACTCACTAGAGTTTATCTAATACGTAAGATGATCTGGTCAGACCTGTGCCTTAGGAGAATCACTGGTAGCTATACTGAGGACAGATGAGAGAGGAGAACCCAAAGGCAAGGAGACTGGTTAGCAGGTGATGAGGGCCTAAACTTGGGCACTGACTATGCGAGTAGAGGGAAGACTGGTTTTTGTCTCCTTTTGTATTCCAGGCACACAGCCCTTAAAACGTGTTTCCTGACTGATTGAGGAGGAGATTCAGCCAAAAGATGTCGTGGAGAAAGAAACAAGACTTGTGGAAACTGCCTCAATCTGTGGGGTGAGTGAGAACGTGTGAGGGTTGAGAATAATGCCAAGGCTGTGAATCTGGGTGATGCAATATGGAAGTCTGAAAGAAGGGCAGCTTTGGATAGGAAGACAGTGAGTTGTTTTGGACACATTAAGTCGGAGATGCCTAGATACAGCCAGTTCAAAATATCCAACAGGCAGTTGGCAGGATGCAGGATGAGAGATCAGGAGAGAGACCAGGACTAAATGTACAGATCCAGGAGTCATCTGCATAGAGATGATAAGGAAACACACAGTCATCACATGAGAAGGCATAGAGAGAAAAGAGAAGAGGAATCGGAACAGAGCCTTGGAGGGCATTCCCACGGTGGCTGTCTGGTACACATAAGCCTATTTAGGTTCATGTTGTCCCCCACTGAATGTAAGCTTCTAGAGGACCGAGACTGGCTTCCCTTTTTTGACAAACATCCAGCACTTAGCTCAGTCCTCGGAACATCAGAATGTTGACTAAGTGATTTAACTCCCTCCCCCTTCCCAAGTCTTCCTTCCCCAGAACCACAGGGTGATTCAATTGCCTATTCTTTGACCTAAGAGTCCCTTCCCCCTCTCCCACACTATGGGTACTTTCTCCCCTTCTTGACTTCACTAAGGTGACCTTCCCCCTTCCCTAAGATGATCTCCCCCCATCACATATGCATACATCAATATTCTTCCAATCTCGTTCCAATCTCTCACCCCTCGATTCTTTCCCAGGCCTTGCAATGGCTACATTTTCCTGTTCCCCATCTTCATCTCTTATCGAACCAGTTCAACTCTACACCATTCTCTTCCCTCCAATCTCTCGCCTCCTTGTCCTATCTCCAATCTTGCCCCGCAAAGCCCCAGCTTTGAACTATTGCCACCATCGGCTGCCTTCATGCCTGCTTATGTGCCACTGAAGGAAGCTCGAGAAAAAACACAAAGCCAAGCTAACCGGATCCGGCACAAACTTAGGTCACATCATCTCAAGGGTCCCTCGCCGCAGCAAGCCAATCCTTTTACGCTGCCCTGATGGATCAACTACCACACTCACCCCTCCTCAAACCTCCCACTGGCCCCTCTCAATCTACAACCAGCCTCATATTGCAGTGAAAAAGCCGAGGCCATTCACAGAGAGGTCCCTCTTCCTCCTCTCGCCTCATTCAGACCCCCCCCCACGCCTGTCTCATCTGCCAGAGTAAACCTCTCCACACACACAAGTGATCCCAGTCCAGCCTGACCCCCCTTTGTCATCCCCACTTTTTCACCAACGTTCAGCCTCTCTCCGTCTCCTGGCTGCTTCCCTGCGGCCGATCCTGCCCAGTTCACCTTTTCATCATCTCTCCTCTGACACAGACCCTCATCCCCTCGTACCTGGAGTCTGGGGTGTGTGGGGGAGGGGGCGTCCTGCCTCAGTCTCCCCATCCCAGCTCACCCTCCATCAGCCACCAGAGTGGCTCTCCTAAGGCTCGGGTCCGACCATGCCATAGGGTGCCCCCGAAGCCCCTCCCCAGGCTGCTGACCCCTCTCTCCCTGAGCCGGCCTCGCGGCTGTCCCAGGAACAAGACCCTCGGACCACTGCCCCCCGCCCCCGCCCCCGCCCCTCTTAGCCTCAGCGCCTTCTGCACATTATTCCCCATCGGTCCGTTTGCGTTAGACTGGCCGCTCCCTGAGGGAAGGGGCTCTTTGGCCTTTCTCTGGATCCCCGGCGCCTGGCACACAGTAGGCGCTTAACTCACTGACTAGGACACTTTCAGAGAATGAATGACGGGGAAGGGTCTCCTCTGGGATGGGGCGAGAGGGCTCAGAGAGGCGTCTCCTTGGGGGCGGGGTCTCCTGTCGGTGGGGGAGGAGGGAGTCTCCTCAGTCAGAAGAGAAACGTGAGGAGGGGTCTCCTCAGTGACGCACGGTGGGGGGCGGGGTCTCCCCGAGGGGAGCCTCACCTCGGTCGAACTTCTTGCCCTCGGGGTCGATGTCCTTCACGTCGAAAATGTCCTCGAACAGGATCCCGGCCATGGCTGGCCACCGGAGGCGACGGAGGCCGAACCACCGCGAGGCCGGCGCGAGAGCCGCGCAAAAAAAAAAAAAAAAAAAAAAAACCAGGGGCCGCGCGTGCCCAGAAGCGCGGCACGCAAGCTAGGGGCGGACGTCTACACGTAGTTCCGCTTCCGCTCCTCCTCGTTTCCTGCCCCACCCCCTCTCGCCTCAGGCCTCTGGCCTTCTCGCGACCCTGTTCAGAGCATGCGCGGTTCCCCAAGGGGGCGGGGCCCGGCTCGGCGCCCGGCTCTCTGAGCACCGGGTTCGCCCCTGCCCCTGACGCCCCAACAGTTTCCCGGGCCTCCTCTCCGCATCCCGCCTTGCCACGCAGTTCCTAGTACAGTCCACGAATCTAGCTGCGTGCTCCCGAGCCGGAGACCTTGAAAACCCGGACCTCGGCGGGTGGAGGATAGAGCTCTCCCAGCCCCTCGACCCCGGTTCCGCCCCCTCCAGGTCCCTGAGAGCGAAGGACGGGCGCCGGTGCCGCCCATGGTACCGCCCCCCAGCCCCTCTGAGGCCTGTAAGAACTCTGGGCGGGTGCCCCCGCCTCCTAGACCCTGCCCCTCCCCCAAACCCGCACGGGCCTATGAGGACGCCGAGAGGGAGCTCGTCCCGCCCCCTTCCCCGCCCCCTGGGTCCGGGCCCGCCCCGAATACGTTCGGGCCTATAAGGGCGCAGCATGGGCCGTCGTCCCGCCCGAGGCCCCGCCTCCCCGCTCGGCTCCGCCCCTGGCCGTGACCTTGATCTAATGGCTCAGAGTCCAGTGCGAGCCGCGCCCGTCCACAGGTCGCCCCCGGGCTTTGGCACACTCTGTCCCGGACTAGGGCTGGGCCTGGGGGCTGGTGCGGGCCTCGCCCCTCTCCTCCATCTCCTCCTCCTCCTTCTCTGTAGGGGCCGGGGGCGGTGAGCACGGCCAGTCCTCAAAGTGACCGCCTCCCCCGGGCGGCCTGGCGGCCAGACCCGAGGTCCTGGGATGTGGCCCTGCCCTCCTGGGGATCTGCCATGAGGTCATCGGGCACTGGCCCTGCCCCTTTCCCCGGCGCAGCCCACCCAGGCACTCCCCTCTCGGCACAGTCTATTCCTGGCACTGCCCACGCTACCTGTCCCCGGTGCTGCCCACACCCGGAGCCTGCCTGCTCCACCCCCAGCTCCATCCCTGGGCACTCGCCCCTTGGCCGCCTCCTCCTGCCACCTTCACCTGCCACTGCATCCCCCTCCCCCACCCGCATTCACTCCCGTGATCTGAAACACGCTGCCTCTTCCATTCTTTCCCCACTGGGTTAGCACGTCAGCAGCTCCTCAGGTTTCAGGCCTGGGGCCCTGCCAGGAAAAAGCGACCTCTGCCCCACACCCCACACCCCTGCTTAGTTAAAGCCAGTCTCAGGGGAGCGGCCTCTGCAACTCCCTTCGAGGTTCTCTGCTTTTTCTGCCTTCAGCCTCCCCTAGGCTTCCCCATCCCCATCATTCCAGCCTAGCCGGTCAGATCCAGGCCCAGCTCTCATCAGATGCAGCACCCAAGAGAGACACACAGACATAAAGAGAGAAGGGAGCCATCCCACTCCCCAAAGAAGTCAGTTCCTAATATCCTTGCTATCCATGTTATGATTCTGTTCTCATTCTGGCTCCAGGAAGAAACCCTCCCCCAAATCACACTCAGTTTTTCTTCCACCTCTGACTGATAGAGACTTCTCCCATTGAGAAATCAATTCAACAAATTCTTATTAAGTGGTCCATACACACAAAAATTACAGGAACATTTAGACACAACAGACAAAAATGAAATAGTCCCTTCCCTTCAGGTACTTAGATCCTACAAAGAGATGCAAAACACCAAATACAGTACATCAAGGCAAAAGAGAGTACTCTAGGAAATTTTCAGGAAGGAGCTAGTACTTTTGGCTGGAGAGTTCAAGGAAGGCCAGCAGTGGAGGTGGCACCTGAGCTAAGCCTTGAGGGGACAGAAGGAGAATAAGGAGCAGATAAAATAAGGGAGTAAATTCCAGGCAGCGGTGCTACCTTCATCATTGCAGGGGAAATGGCATGTTAATTTCAGGAAACTAATAATCCAGCTTTGGTTAAATAAACGAATGAATGAATTTTAAAAGCCTTTATTAGGCTTTAAAGAGTGCATGAAGGTAAAAATAATGTGAAATAAACTTGGAAAGATAGGTCAAAAGAAGTGGATTGAGGAGGACTTTAAATCCTAGGCTGAGAATTGAAATTCATAGTAAAGGCAATAGAGAGTCACTAGTAGTGTTAGAACAGAAGAATCCTATTCAAGCCTGTGCAGGAAGATGATTTGGTAGCCCTGTAAAGAATGGATTGGAAAGGGGAGAGACTGGAAGCAGGATGATCAGTATACTCCAGGCAAGAGGTAGAGAGGCCCTGAATGAACAAAGGATCCTGGACCAAAAAAAGAGGGACTTCAGGCATCTAAAAGAAGTTAAGCAGGTGGCATTTGTCATCTAGAGAATGTTGCTTAGCTATGGTAGCCCCAATACGAGCTGGCCTCTTAGCCTCTCCTTCTTAAAGGTAGGGACTCTCACTGGCATATGGTAAATGTTTAATCATTGTTGGTTGACTGATTGATTACACCCTCATCCCCTCCAGCTCCCACCTACAGAATGATGCTAGGGCAAGAGGACTGGATTTGGAGTCAGCAGACTTGAGTTTGAAACCTGTTTCAGCTACCTAGGCGACCTGAGAGAAGTCACCAACCTATAAGATGAGCTGGGGCAGATTGGTCTTTCCAACTAGGTTCTGTAGGATCTAGGATCCATGAGGAGCAGATTGGAGGGTGGCTCCTCCTGTCCCTGTCCCTCCAGCTGTCCCTACTTCAGATCCCTTCTCAGTGCCCTCACCAGGATTCCTGTTTGCCCCTAAATGAAGCTCCTAGAACTTTCCCCTAAGTCCCTAGGTCCTGGAGTGTTGAGGCTGGAATAGATTGTGGGGTAAGATGGAGAGAATAAGGAAACAAGAGACCCCAGCTTTGGTGGGAGATCAGGGGACACAGTTCAAAGCCTGTCTCTGGACCAAAGACCCAAACACAGTTCTCACTCCCTGATTCAACACTCCGTGGCTCCGCCACATTGGCCCATGACCTGCTGACTCGGGCTGGTATTCCTCTCCCAATTCTAGTACCACCAATTTCGGCTCTGGAGGTTATCTCAATATCACAGGGTCATAGATCTTAGAGCTGGGAGTGACCTTAGACGTCCTCTGTACAACGCCTTCATTTTACAGCTCTGGAAACTGAGGTTTGGTAACTTTTCCAAGGTCACACAAAGTTGAACGGGAACCTATGTTCCTGGCGTCTAAATACAGCACGGAGCTTCCAGTCTGGGGGCGGGACAGCAGAGCTCTGCAGGGCCTTCGAGGGGAGGGACTAGTGCCCAAGTGGGAAGAGCCAAGAGAGGGGAGGGGGCTATGTCCCAGGGAGAGATCTCAGACTGCTTGGGCGCTCCCCCAGCCCCTGCGGGACCCCCAGAACAGCCAGGGGAGCGGGGGTGGGGGGGCGCGGTCGCTCCCGGGGCCTGAGCTGCCCCCTCCGGGAGCAGCAGCACTGCCCTGTCCAAGGCAGCCCAGCCCAGCTCAGCTCCTCGGGAACCGCCCCTGGCCCGCCCGGGAGGGGAGGGGACGGGAGGGAAGTGGGGGAGACAACCCCAGGCTCTGGCGGCACTTGGAATCCTGCGGGGACAGGACTGGAGCTGAGCAGGCGGGAGTGCTGGGAGGCAGGACAGCACCGAAGAGTGAGAACCCAGGCTTGGGGCACTGAGGCTGAGCTGTCTGGAGTCGGAGCCCCAGGCCAGGCTGTCCTACGTGGAGGAGATGGCGGCGGCTGTGGAGGAAGGGATGGAGCCCCGGGCTCTCCAGTATGAGCAGACCCTGGTGAGTGGAGACCCCTCATAGTGAATCCCAGATCTCTCTCCACTCGCCTCTGGGGCTGCGGCTTCGGGTGGAGGGAAGGGGATGTTGGTTTTGTTTGTTTGTTTGTTTGTTTTCTGGCCCAGACGTTGTGATTACTGTATCTGCCTCTTTCCCCTGCCCCCCCAACCCCCTCCCACTTACACACACAAGGGAGCAGGAATAAGAGATCTACCTATGTGGGGAAACTGAGGCAGGGACGGGGTGAATAACTGAATTGTCAAAAGAGGCTAAGATCTGAGTGGAGGGAGTACTGGACAAAGACTCCAGGTGAGATGTCCCCAGGTCAGCATGATTGTTCTCACCCCTTCCCTTACCCCTTCCTCTCTCACCTGGGCAGAGGCCAGAGCCCCAGCACCACCCACCACAGGGCCCCTTGATCTTTCTCCCCTCTGCTGCTCCTTTCTCTTCATCTCCTGCTCCATCTACTACCTGGAGTGGCCGGCCACACTCCCCACTCCTGTTGAACTCTTTATCAGCCCAGAGCTAGGCAGGAGCTGAGCTCAGACAGAGTTGAGGGTGGTGGGGTGTCTCTTCTAGTTTGGGATGGACCAGTTCAGCCTGAAGCCAGACCCTGGGTGGTAGGGTGGAATGCAGGCCCAGCTCCAGTCCTGGACCTTGTGTCCTCTGACCCCATTAGGGGGCCTGATGACTGGGGCTCTGGGCTGGGATGACTCACTGGGCTGATCTCCACTACAGTTTGGCATTTCAGCTTCCATTTATCTCTTGCCAGCACCCATGGGGAGGGCAGCCAGGGTAAGGGGGTGCTCCCCAGGTTAGAATCCAGCAACTGGGATGGAACCTCAGCCGTGGAGGGAGTGAAAGAACGCCAGCCAGCATGGACCAGCACTGAGATCAGAGATTGTCAGGGGATGGCCTACCTAGAGACAGTAAATGAGGGAGGGGCTGGCCAGAAGGATCAGTTTCGGGTTGGGGAGAGCTCAGGAACAGGAACAGCTGAGGAAGAGGAGCCAGAAGGAGAAGGGAGTGAGATTAAGTGAAAATGAGAAAAAGGGCGAGGAACCAGAGATGCCCTGGGGCTAGGGAGACTTCAGGTACTTTTCTCTGGGAAAACCCAACCTGCACATGGGACAGTCTCTCAGAGGGAAGAGATC